CTGGATTGAGAGACGCCAAATTAGGTGCTGATACTTCGCATCTGAACCAGTAAGAGCAAAAATGGGAGAAAGGTGGCGCAGTTTTGGTCGACGAACCACGAGAAGCACTGCTTATGCTGCGGAGGAGGTGGTGCATAACCGGTGGAATCCACTCTTCCTGCTTCAGAACTTGTTTTGTGACGGATTTATCTTTCTTTAATCAATTAGTTTATCTCGATTATAGAATGACAGGTGAGCATGGTCGGCCAGAAGTGATTGTTGAAGGTGCATATGAACCGAATGGTCCATGGACGCCGTTTGATTTTTATGCAAAACCTGGCAAACTTGATGAGGCTCCGCGATTCATATGTATGTAAATTGTACGAGCACATTCATGTAGAATCTAATCCAGCGTCTCATCCTGTTTTGTGGAGCGAAAATGGCTTGTACCGTGATAGTCTGTGAAAGACGTACATTTTTAGAGCAAGCATTTTGCTGTTAGGCCATGCTGCTAAAATTTTCGATTTTTGTTTACAATTGATGCATCTTTATCGGTTCGTGAAGGAGTTCTTTCAAAAAAAGTTAAAAAAAAAACTTACAAAATTGTTCGGAGTCAGTGAAACTGTACCACCACTGACGTACACTCATATGTTCAGCTTTATTAGGCAGTCCTGCCTCAGGCTACATTTCTCCAGCAAAAATAGCGCTTCAACGACTTCTCATGTCTTCGAATTCTTGAGACGCACAACTAATTTAGGGATGGAATTTTACCACTGAGTTTTGACGTCGTCTTTATGCCTGATCCTGGCTATTATCACTTTTTTTCAGTTCCTCATCAGCCGCGACTGGATTGGCAAATGTGGTTTGCCGCACTGGGAGCTTACCAGCATAACCCATTTTTTATCTCACTTACCTATCACTTGTTACGAAATAATTCAGAAGGTTGAAACTTCATTATGCTCGTATTTTTTAATTATACGACGAATTTCTTGACAAATGAGTTGCGAATTTTTTCAACACATATACAAAGTTGTGGCTACTTTATGACCGTGTTGTGGACTGTCACATAAATGGTCTCAAGGTATAGCCATGTCCGCATGAGGAAGTAAAATTTTTTGGGAGGAACATATTGCTGCTAAGAGAAATTCATATAACGATTTCTGATAACCACGTGGAAAAAAACGCCTTTAGTTGGTTTTGGAAAAGCTGGCCTAGGCGCAGTAGGTACAGAATGGAGACACAGACGGGAAGCTTGACACAAATACGTTTGATGTAACTCTTAGCCGTCTTCCATAGGGATGGTCTCAGCAGTATCGAGGGCAGTCTGGATGGTGTAATATACTGAAACTC